TTCGAAGATCGAAATTCCCCCATTCTTTTCAGGTTTATTTATTTATCTATTTTTTTTTTTTTTGTTACATTAACTTAAAGTTGCAAAGGTGTTATATTTTCGCATTGTGCACACTGTAAACAACGTTAAAATGTTATCTAATAGACAAGCGAAAATTGTAGCAAAAAAAAAGTAAGTTTGAGCGATGTCAATGAAAACAGGAAACCAATATGTAATGATTGAGAAAAAACTCAAGTTGACATTTCTTTCAGAAACTGCTTTCTAATTGTTTCTCAAACTGCAACAAGTTTTTTTATTTTCTGCATATTTGTTCCCATAGTGTAAATTTCTAGTTTTTTAGTTTGAAAGAAACTTTTGTGGAAAAACTGTGCTGTTTTCCAGCTTTTTTTTGCTCTTATTACTGGAACACAAGCAACTTGAGCTTAGGGTAGCAACGAGAGCATAGGGAGTTATCAGATGCGAAGTATCGACTACCTATGGCTTCAAAAGTAGAACATAATTTAGTTGGCGTAGCTGAAGTCAGCATTTCAGAAACGATCACAAGGACAAAAAAATTAAAGCATCGGTGTTGCTGTTATGATGCAGGAAAGTTTTTCAACAGAAATACACAGAAAATGCGAGCACTTTGCAGAACTTATCAATTGACCTTTAGCTAAAAATAAGGCCGCTCATTTAAGACACCTCAGAAATGTTTAGTAAAAGCTATATTTCTAAGAGAATGATTAAGTTGTATGGTAATAGCACTTTTTTGCACAGTAACTGTACCTCTTCAAATTACTCATTCTCTTACGCAGTTATCTATCATCTTTACATTAAGGCCAAATAAAAACTTAGCTTTAAATAGCTTTTGCGTGGTTGACTTAAGGAAATTTTTTTCTTTTTATTTGAACAAAAGCTATTAGTAGGACAAAAAAAGTCTTAAGCGCTTGGTCAGTATTAAACTGCCGCTAAACTTGACAAACCTACCAAAATCAGTAAACATTTGTTGTTATAAATGGTTCCGTTAAGTTTTGCTCTGCAATTGGACACTAGAATACTGATTTAATCGACTAAAATCAGACAAGTTAACAGACAAATCACTGTTGTTACACAGTTTCCAATCGGAGATTATTTCAGTTTATTTTTTAGCTCAAACATCAAAACATAAGAAAACCTAAAGTTTTTTTTTGGACGAGATCACCTTACAAGTTCAATTGTCGTTTACCGAACAGATTAAGCTCATGTATTTTGATGCTTTGAACATGGATAAACCAAAACAAGAGGAAGATGACGTTCAACTATGTGTATCATTCTGAAGTTTTTCACCAGTCAGCACTTAGCAAACATCGTTACTAAAAAAAA